ATAAAAGTCTGGAATCCCAAGGTAAGGGCAACCAAGGACGCTGTGCCGCATCCTTCGCGATATTGACACCGATGATAGATTTACCATGGCGACCGGTTCCACCTTATGCCTATCATCACCCCCGCGTATCCATCGATGTGTGCGACGCACAACATCTCAATGTCCACAAAGGCGGTTATCCTTCGCGAGCTCCAACGGGGAGGTGATATTGTAGACAAGATATTCTTGAAGCAATTGACTTGGAATGATCTCTTTGCACGGCACTCATTCTTCACACAGGATTACAAATACTATCTTAGCATCACTGCCTCAAGCAGAACTAAGGAAGCGGAATCGGTGTGGTCTGGTCTTGTCGAGTCCAAGATCAGACACCTTGTCGGAGCTCTGGATCGCAAGCCTACCATCGCAGTGGCTCACCCATTTCCAAAAGGCTTTGAGAGAGTGCATATCGTCTCCAATGAAGAAGAAGCAGAAGCCGTAAAGAACGGTTCTACCAAGTTTCAGGATAAAGGTACGAAGACGGAGACCACAGATGAAACGAAAGATGCTGCACACCAAGCCGCAGCTCTCAGCGGAGTTGAGAATGCCGAGGTGGAGCCTGTCGGTGAGAAGAGCGCAAACGGCGATAGCCATATCATTTACACTACGACATATTACATCGGCTTGGAGTTGAAGCCATTGGAGCCAGGTATGTATGGCCCTTGACTTCCCGAGAGCTAGCTAACGGTAAAAGGCGCTTCCCGTTCGCTGGACATCTCTACGGATGCCCAGATTTTTAAATCTACGTGTACTTCGTGGGCAGGATACCAACCCGGCATCAATGATCTCTCCATCACTCACGTTCGCAAGTAAGTTTGTTCTTAATTCGATCTCCTCGTTGGTCTTTTTTTGACTTGAGGACTAGCTTTGATCTTCCCGACGATGTCTTCCAGCCGGGAGAAACCCGACCCACGCGCCCCAAGAAGAAGATCGTTAAGAAAGCCGAAGCAGGCGCTCAAAAACGAAGTATCGATTCTTTGGACGTAAGTGCACGCAAGAGAGTCAAACAGGATAACCAGCGGGAAACGAGTCACCAGACGAAAGCGGATATTTCGCATTTCGGTTGATGCTCTTAGTGTTCCAGCATCGAATTGACTAATTTCAATTACTTTTTAGGACGCATCGCTTCCAGCTGCAAAGCGGCAGGTCACCTCCAACGGAGTCTCCGGTACGCCAACACCTGCGTGAAGATCGCTCACCTGAGGCCGAACCACTCGTCGTGTTGGGGCTGGTCCCCATTATGTTCTCATTGAAACGATACATTTACGACGCCTAAACCACTGATGGAAGTTGAAGCCCAACGAACAATGATAATGTGTTGGTGAACAACTAACTCCAGCTGACTCTGCCTTTGCAGTTCGCGCTTGATTAACGTCCTGGACTCCACCTCGACGAACAGCGCAATCGAGGTCAGATAACAAGGTTGGTCGTCATTTTTCTCCCGCCTTCATTCCTCCCTTGCTCCTCATACCTACACAACGAACATTTCTTGGTTCTATGTCGCTTTTTCCAGCAATCTTGCGAGAGGGCACTCTCGGAGCCATTAAAATATGGCGCATATCTGCATTACTAAGTATGGGCTGGCCTTTTTCCACGGCGTTTGACTGATACTGGTATGGTGGAGGTTCCCGTCTGACGCAAAGATAGTATGTGGCTGTACATATTGCCATCCCCGTTACGCAGTTATTATCTGGTCCACGTGCCAGTTAGGTTAGTTGAATAAAGGTACACATTCCGCGTGGCCTACGGGCCACATAGTCCAGTATCCAATTCCGAATCTGTAAACCAATTTTCCCGCTGTAGAGTCTTCCATTGGATATATGTGCATTCAGATCATTGTAGAACTATACATACAGACGACGTCTCTCCTTAGCTCCATGCTTCCACCAGCTCACACAGCGTTGACTCCCCACCCACATTGCCAGGGAACACAACAAACGGGACACCCTGATGCCTGGACGTCGGCTCATCACATCGCCAGAGCGGCACACCAGGCGCAGCTTGACCGACAATCATGGCTCGCTTGATATTAAGCCCCTTGGTAGCGGCGTCGGAAGAGGTGATCCCGCCCTGACAGCAGCAAACCAATTATCAGCTGAAGAATTCTTCCTTTGCAAAGCACGAACCCTTACCTTTGCAATGATATATCTTGGCCGTACCTGGATCTGCTGCAGAACCCGGACCAGCGCCTCGGCGACCTTCGCCCCGATAGCCAGCGAGGAGAGCTCATCCTGGCCCGTTATCAGCTTCCGACTCGTCATGACCAGTGTATCCGTGCCGGATTGCAGGTGCGTCTCTGTCTCGTGGACGACGCGGCTGATTACGCTCTCCGCGCTATCGGGGGAGGCGATGAGATCCGCTACGTCCATTTCGATGATGGCGAGGGCGCCGCTTGCGCCACGAGTGTCGGTCAGGGCCTTGAGCTGGGCGGTTGTCTTGGGGACATAGGAGCCGGCGAGGATGAGGCCGCCTGTTTTGCGGGGGGATGGGAGATCCAGTTGCCGGGCTGTGATGGGTGGGATGGAGCGGATTCCCAGCCGGGAGGAGACGAAGGCTGCGCCGGTGCGGTAGAGGAAGTGCTTTCCTTTGGCTTCGGCTGTTTTTTTCTTACTCAGCATAGGACCAAAGACAGAAAGGATTCGAAAACGTACCCAGGAGCAAGCCGGCCACGAAAACGTGCATGTCTGACTCCGCTGCGGCGTTGACGATAACGACGCCTTCCTTGGGGAAGCTCATGAGCTTCTCGTATACGGCCTGGGGTCCGCCCAGTCGGATGTCCTCGATTGTGATCGAGTGCAGTTGCTCGGGGCTGAACCGCCCAGGCGCTTTCTCCATGACATAGTCCCTCAGATTCGAGCTTTTGTATCCAAAGGTCGCATCCTTGGCGAACTGTGTCAACCCCGCAGGCACCAGGTTCTCCCCTTCAGCTACATAGTGTACATCGTTGATGGTGAACCGCCCGCCCTGGAAGAAGAAGGGGGCCAGCACCCATGCATCTGCGGGGCCGAACACGGACTGCGCGACGTCTGCTTCCAGTGGAAAATGGCCGCGCAATGTACTGTCGCCTCGAAGGACGATGTCGACAGTCTGAGATGTGGATCGGGCTGCCTGCAAGACGTTTTCGCAGATGCCGCGGATGAGCTTCTCCGCTTCAAGTGGGGGAAGAGCGCGCGAGTTGGTGAGAATAAAAAACCCACGGGAATCTTGCTGGAATTCCTTAATCAGCGTCGGGACGTCCCAGACGGTGAGCACGGGGATATCGTGACAAGTTTGGGTGCCTGTAGGGTCGTCATCTAGCACAACTAAGCGATTCAGTGAAGACGTCGAGAGGAGCTGTTCGATCTGTTCCTGGGCGTCTGCGGGGTATTCGGGCGGAAGCTGTGACAAGGTACTTTCGCGAGGCAGCGGGGGATATTCTTTTGGGAAGGACATGTTGATTTAACATATAAAATGAGACAATCATATATGAATGAAGGAATTGAGCGTCTCGGGGGTCTCAAATACTCACTTCCATACGGAGGCACCCCGAGCAATTGACTCTATCGTGGGGCCATTTGATATGCGGGGAAACTCCGTTGTTGGGTCGGAGCAATTGCCGAAGCTCCCAAAACACGGAGCAAAGGACTGATATCATCACCGAACCCAGACCTGGAGACCTACAATGTACTTGTAGCGAATATTGAGTTGGTTGCTGAAATAGGATTGCATTGTTGATCTTCGATGAACAGCAGAGCGTGTATAGCTGCAGAACCGAAATCAATAAGATGAAGTACGAAATAAACATGTCCGACAGTCGCAGAAGCAAAACACCTCTTACAGCTAGGGATAGATCTCTCGCCATCCTCCAAGGGCTATGTATGTACTAGTGACGCTTACTGGCATCTTACAGAAAACMACACAGTCTTTGCGCTGATTTTTTTCCAATTTGCATATACTTCTCCCAGTTCTGTCTTCAAGGTCATTATATATCATCTACACTGATAACGCCCCCAAAATAATAGAACAGTCACGTAGACAGAGGGTCATACCTCTAACTATCCTCCTAGTCTTCATGTAAAAGCAAGATCGTCAACCCAAACGCACAGCACAACCAAGGTATGATCGAGAATTCAGAGACCAAGTCGAGGAAGATTAGCGGTGCAAAGCGTGGTGCCTTCCGGGGTTATTAGCCTACGTTGCAAACAGAAGATGTTCGTACAAGCTGGGACACGCAGTAAATCCAAACCACTGGTGAATTGAATGGGCTTACATTGCAAGCTTTCAGACTCTCATCCGACGAAATAACGCGTGTTGAGGAGGGACCAAGGTGTGTAGGTGATATCGATGCCCTGCGCGGAACTGAGGTTCGCGGTAGGAAGCCATATTCATATAGAGGTTGCATCGATTGCTTGTAACAGAGTCATGAAAGTAGAAGGGATGTATGTGATCTCAACCTCCCCTTGCCTCCTTCTATTTGAAGGCAGTTAAAGTCTTGGGTTCTTATATGCACATAAGTGGTCTATTTTTCTGAATTACAGGACAAAAGAGGGTTGATAAATTTTATGTCTTCTCAACGAAGAAAATAGCACAGGCATGGGTTCGTATTGCTGCTGCATACACATGACCATAGAAAAAGCCTCGTAAACGAAAATAGGGAGGTATCCGTCTCTCGTTGCAATGCAAAAACCTGAGAGGCTGGTTCTTTAGTTGGGAAGTAAGATGATCGACAGGGTAGTAAGAAAGTGGGCCTTACTTAGGGCTTGGCCAGATATCTAGCTGTTTTTGGTGCTAGCGGATATATTAAACGCAATTGTATGAGAGGTATGTCATGAAACATGATCTTGCTATAGGAAAACTGCCGTGGAGTGACTAGGCTGCACTGATTGATGATGAGGTCGATAACTATATAAGCGTACAAGAGTGTTACTGCACGAAGATGGTCAAACTCATCAGTTCCAGTATATTCTTTTCCGCGATCAAGCATGAGACCACTGATGCGACCTTTCTTCAGTGTGCAATGCCTTTTAGGGCTTGCTACCTTCACCAGTAGAGCCTTCGCACGAGCTGCTCTCAATCCCGATATCCGCGCAGACACAAACCGAGATGGGGTCGTGGATCTTGCAGGGGATACAGATGTCTTGGATAAAGCAATCTGGTCGCCCTCCAGGGGAGCTATTTTCCTGCCGAATATCGGCGACACCTGCGCAAGATGTCCGAACAAGGATCTCCAAGGACATCCTCTGAGCAATGAGGAGCTTGCTGCCTGCAGCGACGCTTCTGGGAACTTACTACTGGCACCGGAATATGTCGCCCCTCTGAGGACCGTGCCGATGAAAGAGATCCCAGATAATGCATACGCGAACATATACGCCACTCCAAAGGCAGCGTACGATCGAGTCCGACTATTTCTTCACGACGATCCGCAAAGCAATGCCTCAACCTCCTGGCGACTCATTGACAGGGAATTTGCTTTTAACGCAACTCAACTGCGTAAGGGCCTGGTCCTTGGTCTTGATGGTCGCGAGTTGGTAAAAGATGCCAACGTCTGGAATGGGAACGTGGTGGTTCACTTTGATGTTCATGACGGAGAAGAGTCAGCCAGTGATGCAGTCGCTCTCAAACTCGCACCGGTACTCACCCATCATCACCTCCAGAACGTGGATACATTGGTCACTGTTGCCGCCAACGAAGCAAATCCGGTGCAGGTGAACTTCCTCGCCCAGCTTGACAAGGGTCGAGAGCAGGCGGGGATCCGAAAGCCTCTGCTTCTTCTCAACCAGAGCGATGACATCTGGGCCCAGGATTTTCTGGAACCGGCGTATGCCAGTATGCCTGGTCCTCAGGGGCCCATTTCAATTCGGATCATGCTTCGCTCTGCGCAATCCACCCGAACTGCGGGCCGACAGGTCTTTGAGTTTCTTCGACGTAAGGGAGTAGGTGGATTCCAGCCAGCTCCCGGCTTCGGACACCGGGAGATCAACTCGTTTGGCAATCTGGAAACAGTTCCCCCATACACCTCCAAGGCTGGTGTTCAATACAAAGCTGGGCGGATAATCATGGGGAAACACTTCGGAGAGCCTCCTGCAGACTCGATGCTCACCTTTCTCAACTCCCAAGGACTGCAGTCTCCTCTACTGCTGGAGGCAGGTTGGCTCCTTATCGGCCATGTGGATGAATTCGTCCAGTTCCTTCCGTTTGCCAACAACCTGGGCTGGACGATCGCGATAGCGGATACCACGACAGCAATGACGCTCCTTAAAGACGCCCAAGCGGCAGGCCATGGTGATGCACACGCCATCAGTTTTGTTCCGCCCCAGAAGTCCGCCGACGGATTTCTAGATACAAGCGAGCTTTCCTTGACGATTAACGACGTCCTTGCTAATGAAACAATCCGAAAAGCCAACCAGTACGCTCAACGCCACATCGACTCAAATCTCCAGATATTGTTGTCGGAGATCAACCTTCCTATGGAACAGGTGATCCGAGTGCCTACCCTGTTCAAAGCTGCAACATTCGAACTCGGCGGGGCCGACGATGGTCTGCCTCCTCATACCTCGCCACTTCTGCCCGGGGAGATGCAGCTAATGGCATTTTTCCCGGCGGCAATCAATGGGATCGTGATTGGGAAACACTATCTTTCCCCCAAGCCGTGGGGCCCTATTGTGAAGGGGGAAGACATCTTCGAGAAGGCAGTCAAAGCAGCATATTCCAAAGCCGGCATGACGATAAGTTTCGTGGATGATTTCCTGTCACATCACATCTTTGGCGGGGAGATCCATTGTGGTTCGAACACTCTGAGAGAGCCCAATTCTGCGTGGTGGAAGTGAGTTGACTGAATTGTGCCGTGGTGAAAGGTTTCACCGCATGAACAGCATTTATAGCTCTGCTCATAGAATATTCTCTCTTTGCTCATAGACGATTCCATTAGAGAGGACAGTTGGATTATAGCAAGAAGAGCGGTGCATCTTTGAAAACCTCATCCCATGTCATAGTAGTGGTGTCGGCTGTTGACGCCGTCCATAACTTTTCAAGAAGAAAGGCAGCATCTCTCATACCCATAGTCCCCAGATCTGCCGTCATCTCGAGTAACTGGCCGTGGATAAACGCAAAATCAGGACCATTGCGGTGCACTATGACACTCTGCACGCCCGCAATAGCGAGTGGCCAGAAAACAAATTTCCAATAGTGAACCCCATGTTCCTGGCGTCGCTTTGCGCCGAGAAGAAACTTGAGGGATTCCATCAGCTCATGGTACGCGATTTGCCGAGCACCTATCATCCTGTCACGAGTACTTGATGACTGCAGGATTGGTCCGGCGTCGCAGCAGTTCTCGCATCCACCCGCCAGCTCCGCAGCTAAATACGTCTCTACCGCGTATATTTTTATGGCTGCACGGAAGCATTGAGCACAGTGGGCGTAACTTCTTGCTTCCAGCAACAATCTATCCCGAATTTCTGGACATCCCTGACCTTCAGGATGAGATAGAGCCGGGTCATTCTCAGGTCTCGAATCAATATACGTTGGATTGCTGCGATGGCTTGTGCTGCCGTCAAGCGGAGTGTAATGGTTCAATTTTGACAGTACTTCCGAGATCTTGTAATCCACAGGACATTCCACCGCGTCTCCAAAGACCTTGGTTGAGATTGACTTTGCTCTAATCAGGTTGACCTCAACGATAATCTTGATGAGGTTGGCTGGTATGTAGAAGGAAGATTGTATACCTTTCCGATTCAGCAAAGATAGGATCCGATGGTACGATTGGTGTCTTTCCGCCGTATCCGGGGGCATGGAGGCCACCGGGCATGTGGTCGTCGCCATGATATCGACCAAAAGTATGTTGGAAACCAGCATGCACTCTTCTTCATCGTTCAGTACTAGAATCTTCGAGCCACCAAATGAGTCAATGAGTGCTTTGACTCCCTCCAGATGTGTTCGCCATTGGCCATACGCCCCTTGTTGTAACTAAATAAATCCGTTAAATTACGCTGTTCTGTATGGTGACGGACCGGTAAGGGGGTTCACTCTGACCTGAGAATACAATAACATCATAACACCGCCGAGAATGCTATAGTCTAGACTCCTTGAAGTTCTTGACAGTGCATCATTCACACTTCTGATGGCGGAAGCATAATAGCTGTAGAACCTCCGTTCTTCTGCATCAAGCTGATCACTGCCCGCTCTTGCTAGTTCGCCCGATTCCCGCGTTGATAATGCACTTGTTACAGTGGGCGTCACGCTCCGCGTACTCGATCCGGGCCGTACGACAAGGCGACTGAGATCCCAACGACGCTGAACAATCCGATGAAAGATGCTGATGGCAGCAAACGCATGCCTCAAGTAAAGCGGTGCTTGGAGGGACTCAGAAATGTCCCACCGGAACGGGTTTGCCGGGTTATCTGTCGGCACCAAATCTGGAGCTATACGCTCATTATCTGCGAATCTCTTGGTTAGAGCTTCTGAAGATGCTTCATAGGGGAATTAACGGTTGATAAAAACCCGGACATGCTTACAGTACATAATCTCTTCGGCTATTACCAGGTCATGAAGATCCAGTCCAGCAGGCCGCAATGCAACAGGAACACTGCTTCCAGAATTGCCTGACAGACTGACGTGGTTAGAAGGATAACCGCCTGATTTCTTTGTTTGGAGTAGGTACTGACTGTTATGTTTCCCACGCAGATGATATTGAGACTCGGGATTGAACGGCCTCATCCATCGTAGGGGCCTCGTTCTGCTGTAACCGGGACATTGAATGCCTTTGACTGAGCATTTGACGCAAGTAGGAGTTTCAGAGCCACAGCGGATACGCTTTTCACGGCAAGCCCAACATTGGGGTCCTAAAGTCCTATTAGTACCTCGCTTACGTTTCACCATTATTTATGTGTCATTCGCTGATGAAAAAGCTGCGAAATAACTGCGCCGGGACGTTGAAGATTGACGGCGAGAGTGGCGGATTATTCGCAATCAATGGGATGTTTTTGGTTAGGTTGCTGCCTTGGTCCCTCCAGAGCTTAATGAATTAGTTCTCAACTTTAACTCCACCCACAAAACGCACTATTGGAGTCGAATGTGCCTTGTCTCGTTGGGAGTTCTATGATATTTCCCAATCTTTCAACAAGATGGGATGCTGGAGCCTCTTTGTAGCATTCGCCAATCGGGCTTAATAGAACTAGCACCACTTTAAGGATACAGAATGCTCCCAGTGCATTGAAATCGACAAGCAATAGTCCGAAACAACAATATTTTCATGCTCAAAGCAGAAATTTCGTCAGTAGCTTAGAACTCATTGAGAGGCAGCACTTTCCGTCCAAAAGCCCGATCAACTCAGTTCGTTAAGAGTGTCGGACTTGTTCGTCCACCTGTTTCCGCCCTAATGAGGTTTGGGATGTTGCTGTATGATCACCCACCAACAAAGTAAAAATGGCTCTATTAATGAATGCAGGACATGTCGCACATGCTATTCAACAGAGAAGATCGCCCATAGACATTGCTCTTGACAGCTATAAATCAATCATGAGAAAATGGAAGGGTAAACGGAATCCAAGCCCGGTCCGTAACACCGCCAACGCCGTGACATGTGCAGGGGATATGCAAGATGGCCATGGTCAAAGAGAGTAGGGATGGACAAGGCGAATGACAAGAATGCTGGTAACGGATGGGGGGAAGAACAAAAGAAAAGTAAACAAACAGATTTCCAACTGGTCATGAACACATATTCCTCCTTTTATCCCATTGAAATGAACACCGATTCCACCCAACCCCCAGAGACCTCATCCCACGCAGCCAGCTAACCAGCAAGGAAAGAGAGAACGCATCGCAAATATATCGTCAGAATTAACTTTGAGGAAATTACCGAGCAATGACAACAACAGCCACAGTATTCACTTGAGCAAGGCAGGCCGGTGCGAGTCTCGGGCTTTAACCGACGACACTGCGGAAGCTCAAAGCTTCCAGGAAGCCACCCAGATCCTCCTTTTGGACTTCTACGACACAATGCTCGAAGCTGTCGATGCGCACTCGAGTGTTGGTCTCCTGCACCACCTCCTGGAAGGCAATCCCGAATCGGTTCCGCAAAAGGTGCTTGTTGCCGCGCATGTCAAGCTCGTCCTCAGACTCCGACTCCGATTCTGATGATGACTCTGATTCCTCCTCCGTCTCCTCAGCTTCTTCTTCGTCGTCATCGTTTCCGCGTTGAGCACGCTCTGCTGCGCGCTGCGCTCGACGTTCCTCGCGCTCTTTTTGCTTCTTCTCCTTAGCTTCCTTTTTCTTACGGCGTTCTTCTTGACGCTTGTGAATCGCCGCGTAGTCGATCACACCTCCACCGCCACCCGTACCGACAACGACATACAGGCCTCGGTCTTCGTCAAGGCCGGCCAGTACCAAGGGAGTCCCTGCCGCTCGCTTCTTTCCAATCTTTATGCTGTCGCCTCGCTCACGCTCTTGGACTCTGATGGCCTCGGCTATCCAAAGAGCCAATTTCGTCAGAGCTCCGGGATTTGTAAACAGTTTGACATCCGGACCATCTTTAACAACTGCAATGCGAAATGCTCGCAAGTGTCGGATTTGGTGCTTCGATAGTAGAGATGTACCGGTACGAAGAATGGCCCGGTGAAGATGCTGAGCGAGCGGGAGTGCTTTCAGAAGGAGGGTGGGCGATTCTGAGGTGAGCGACAAAGCATCATACGCGCTCCAGAATCGCGGCAGAAGGCTAGACAAATCAGACTCGGTGGAGTCATCAGCGCCGTTCCCCTCATTTGCGCCTTTGGGGCGTGAGAGTCGCTTTGTGTCCCAGGTGGCGCCGGGAGCCTCCTCTGGCCCGACCTCGAGGATCGCGCCTATAATGACGCCCACGTCTGTGGCGGAAAGACAGGCTTTCCAGCCCCAGCAGCGCACGAAGCCCCACCCCTCGCGGGAGGAGACATGACCAGATGCGTCCGGCGGTACGAGTCCTTCCAGGCCGTACATTGGTGCATATTTGAGAAGCCGTTGCCGTAGTACTCGCTTCAGTTCCATATCCATGTGAGTGTAGTTCTGATGACACTGGCTCAAGCTGATTCCCATCTTCGCAAGGAGCTTGTGCAACCGCTTCCGACCATTCTCCGTCCAAACGTGGAGTCGTGATGCCAGATAGGGACTATGTAGCATACTTTCGTAGAGTGACCAGTGTCGCAGCAAAATGAAACGGGGTTCTGGAGATATTCGAATGGACTTGTCTGTTGGTGATTTGGCGGTTGTGGGGATGACGCCGTTGATCTCCCCTCTAATGTCTCTGTCTCGCTCGTACGGGTCAGGCGGGTTCAATCGATGAACTTCGTCTCGTAATATTTGACGAATGCGCTCCCCTCGTTCTCCACCCCAGCCAGCAGACCCTCCGGATTCTGACGGATTGGAAATGCCAACCCCAGACATCGTACGACCACTGAGTTCCAGGCTAGAGACGCCGACGATGGCCAACCACAGAAGATCGTTATCTTCCCGACCAAGTTCGGATGCGAGAGAATACACGATCGAGGATATCGGTTCGGAATACGATGTGCCGGTGGAATAATACTTTTGTAACACTTTCTCATGTTTCCTCTTGAGCCGAATCAGGCGTCGCCTCAATGATCGTGCAGACGGCTGCCTCGGCAGCGCGGGTGACGGCGAATCTGAGCCCGGTGTCACAGAGCGAGAAGAGTTCGAGGAGTTATGCTCGTCCCTTGGCCGACGGCTCGGAGACGAAGCAATGGAGGATCCCTGCCGGCGGACGTTAGAGATCACAGCAAACAACAAACATGAGGGCAGACCGCAAAACATACCGAATTACTCCTCCGCCGTTGACGCGGGGGGCCATCGTTCTCGTCAGATTCATCCTCATCTTCGCGTCCCGACCACGATTTTCTCTTCTTGGACCCCGAGCTGGACCGGTGCTCTTCGTCATCCTCGCTGCCGGATCCGTCAATATCCTCTTCATCTTCGTCTACCTCCGGCATGTCCAACAGCGCGCAGTACGCCTCTCTCTCCTCGCTCATCTCCGCCTCGATATCCCCGTCATCGTAAACGACAATACCACCCGCGCCCGATTTGTACGACGGAGTGATGCATCCCTTGTCAACACCGCGCGTGTTCCGCCGCGGAGCGCCATCAGCCCCATCCGCCGAAGCCGCCGCTGCCTCCCCGCCAAAGACATTGCTCAGGTTCCACGGTCGCCTCGAGTCGAACACCCATACCTCCACCCCTCCCATATCCTCCACCTCATCGTCCGGGCTGCTCAGGCAGAGTATTTCGTTGAGATCCACCAAGCCTCCCACGCCTAGACATACGACCACGCCTCCACTGCCCCCATTGTGCGTTTGCATAGGCTTGACCAGCTCCTCGCCGGCGCGTGCGAGATCGCCATATCCGGCTACTGGCTGGATCTTGTGGGGGATATAGTCGCGCTTCAAGAGGGCGGTCAGGATTCGACAAGCGCAGAGGGCATCGGGTTCTAGCGCTACGAGGACCAGCACAGGAGGAGACAGCGGATGATGTGATCGGAGGAGTTGTAGGTAGAGGTGCGATATGAGTTGACGAGGAAGATACATTGCAGCGCAATTCAAGGGAGCACGAAGCACACGACAACCCGAAACGAGGAACTCAAGAAAGAAAAATAATAAATTCAGGCCTTCGAGAGGCCCTGCTCTTTACAAGAAAATCAAACAAGTATAATTAGGAAGAGCCCAGACTCAATTGCGGTATATCGGCTCCATCGTTCCTGTTGTTGATTGTTATCGAGGCTGTTCTCGCATGCACAGGATGTAATCAGTCGCGAATCTCCAGCGACGCGTCGAGGCGTGCCGCACGTGCGGAGACTGGCGCCAAGCCCACCCAAGTCATCAATCAAGGCACATTATTTCAAGGAAGATAGTATTTAGTCTAGTAAATAATGCAGAACCCGTATGAGCATTGATGTCACTCTTTTTCCTGGTAACAGATCGAAGTCATCTTCAGCTAAAAGGCTAACGACACCCAACTCTAACCTTGACTGGTTGATCCCGCGTCTCGACGGACATACATCTCATCCTGTCAGTGATGCCCCGGATATTCCTCTCTAGAAGCAAAAAAAGGATTCGGTTCAAAACAGACCAAAAAATACAGAATAAAAAAGACATAAGTGACCAGTGCCGGGCTCGATCCGGCGACCTTATCGGTGCTAACAATAGGTGATAAGCCATTGTGATAGTAAAGGTTCAAAAATAATCCCACATAACCAGACATAATTAGCGAAGCTTGCCCTGTATCGACACTGGTCATACTCCATGGTTTTTGTGGCGATAATGTGGAGTGTAGAATGCGCCGTGCATTATAAATGGCCCACTGAGCTTACAGCTACCTCGGAGTGTCCTGATAAAGGATGAAGAGCGATGACAGGGCTGTGGACGGGTGTATATATGTATATATGAAGCAATAGTGGAGCCCACATGCGTCGCTCATCCTCAACTATCACAGACGCATGTCGTGGCCGTACAGGCTGGATTATGTCGCTTCAGGTATATGCCACTAGACAGTAGCTCATAACGGGACAGCGATGCTCGCATGGAACAGCTCATCGATGACAGCACGGCATGCGAGAGGGCCACTACTGGCAGATGTGAAATGAGTACGTGGACTGAGACAAAAAAGTAAAGCTTATCCCCTCGAATTGTATTAGTGCCTGGCTAGGATGCATCATGAGATGCAATGGAAAGCGCATGTGAGAAAACAAGCAGCTTATTGCACAGGACTGACCAACCTGTACACGACCAGGGGTTACGTCCAAGCGCTGCTTCGCGAGCATACGCCATCGAGGGTCATAGAACAGGGATTGGAGATTCCAATTAATGTAGGGGTATTATTGTGATCATAGTAATTGCGCC